GGAAATACAGTAACTACCTCTGAATACTCCATGAAAACACAACAGAGAAGCTACTATTGGAGTCCGTGAGTTCCTGTATCATTTTCCGCTTACTGGGAGGGCTGATGGTCCATAAAGAATTTGAGTTTCCTTCCAGTTCTGCTACTGTTATGTCTTCTTTTTCATAATTTTCCAGAAATTGCATAGCACCCTGTATGCACACAGATGCACATGCATAAACAGATTACATACATGACACCGTGTAAAGGAAGCCGCTGCTTCTGCTTTAACTGACGGGATAGAGAGGACTGCTTCCCGTCACAGGAACGTCTACACAGTGGCCAGTCTGGACAGCTCTGCTGCACTGGCACTGTTTCCCTGCCTATGGGGTGCGCAGTCCCCAGGCAAACTCCCCAACCCCAGAGGTGATGCTGCTACCACCAGGACAGCTATGGAATCTCTCCAAGACAACAGCAAAGGAAAACCAGGTAATTTAGTGCTGATTTTCCTCTCCACTAAGGAAACTTATCAACTCTGGGTGATGTTCCTCTCATGAGAGAGACAAAATTTAATCCACCAGGACATCCCAGCCCTGTCCTCATAGCTGCTCATCGCTCAAGATTAGTTTCACAGTGTGCATTACAGGTGATAGTTTTGCAAAGGAGAAAAACATCTGTCACTTTCTTAAATAAAAGACACTATAAAAGAATATTAATGATCATAATCATGTTATCATGGTATTAAAAGTTTGGAATGTAGAGAAAAGAATAAGCCAGCCACAACTCTGCCGCCGCCGCAACATTATCAGTTTTATATGGTAGGGGATGTATTTCTATGTCAGTCTATAACCTTTTTCATTTATGTTTTAGCTTGAGAAAGTGTCATATCATTTACAGTCTCTGTAATTATTTTTTGTTACAAAATAAGTTATTTGGAAAATCTTCAGACAACAAAATACGTGCAGGTAAATAAATAAAAAGTGGAAGCCTCTTCCCCCACTATGACCGTTCTACGGTAACCAATGCTAATCAAACTCATTTGATGCATCTGATGTAATTTCCTCAGCTGGGCTCTGTCTGTTGAACCCTCAACTTGCTGCCAGTTTCTGCTAATACAGAGAGGGCATTCACAGGCAAGTACCCACACAGAGCTTCCACGTATTGTGCATTATTTTTCTTAGGATAAATTCCCAGAGTAGACCTAATAGTCACAGGATTAATACTGTATGCACTGCAATTTAAAAAGTTAAGAAAATTTAAAAAATGGATCAATATTTGTTGATGTTACTTTAAAATTTTCTGAATTAAAATTGTTTATTATTATTTATATCCAATAACACAGACATAACTTCTTAGATTATCAAAATAGCCAGTGGCCAGGATTTTGCTATGTATAACTGATAATCTCTAAAAAGTCCTCCTTCCCACCACCTCAGGCCATGGCAAAGCACTAAATAATATGACAACCAGTGACCTCACCTAGATGAAAGGTCTTCACAGAGTATGCAGATACTTACAGTATCCCTGGAAAAAGCTTTTATAAATGCATTATACTTTGGCTGGTCCATAACTTTCAACTGGCTTTGCTGGGCACTCATTGTGAAAATAGGCTGAAAAACAAGGATACACAGTGTTGTCAATATTACTGAGCTCTTCTCTGCAACGTGGGTTAAAAGAAAAACATTTTCATGGCATATTGCCCACTGATTGCCCTGATGGCAATTGACCTCAGAGATCTCTTTCCGAAGTGATTACTCCTGTGCTCAAAACCTGAACAAACTATTCTTTCATGGCATCTTATTTTATATGTGGCAAAGTTTAGACAGGATAGTTGGGTTGGCAGAACGTGACTAATCATCGTGTAGGTGGTTGTCCTGAAAGAGGCTGCATGAGGTAAGGCTCCTGGAGGCAGGTTACCTGATAGCCTCCCAGGGTGATAGTGACGGAGACGTCCAGGGGCTGGTTGATAACCCCAGCGACAGACTTGATCAGTGACATGAAGAGCAGCGGGAACCAGACGATGCAGATGAGCAGCACGATGATCATGCCGCCCATGCCGTACTTCACCACCTTCTTCTTCTTCTGGCCCCGGGGCTGAGGGTATCTCTGCAACAGAAGAGTTCAGACAGGGCTCAGGCAGCTGTCCCTGCAAGAGCAGGTGGGAAGAAGGGGCCGCGCTCTTCCCACGGTGTCGGGGAATGTGATGTAGTCCCGATTCTTCTCTGCTTGCTCTGAAATAGGGATAGCAACCCTGTCCCAGCCTCAGGATGAAGTTAGGTGGTGATATGAAGCTGTACTGAGTTCACTGTGTGTCCCCTGGTGGTACCACGGGGACAGCAGGACCTGAGAGATTTTCTCCTTTAAAATTGTTGTGTGGGTTTTGCTGGTGATGAACCTATGGACCAACGGATCAAACATAGTCACGTGTCACTTAACAATGAGGATACATTCCAACTAATGAATGAGTCATTAGAGAATTTCATCGTTGTGTGACCATCACAGAGACCACTTACAAGACCTAGATGGTACAGCCTGCTACATGCCTAGGTATATGGCACAGCCTATGGCTCCTAGATGACAAACCTGCACAGCACGTTACTATACTGAACACTGTAGGCAACTGTAACACAATGGTAAGTACTTGTGTATCTAAACATAGAAAAACACTTACAAGACCTAGATGGTACAGCCTGCTACATGCCTAGGTATATGGCACAGCCTATGGCTCCTAGATGACAAACCTGCACAGCACGTTACTGTACTGAACACTGTAGGCAACTGTAACACAATGGTAAGTACTTGTGTATCTAAACATAGAAAAGCATAGTAAAAACACATTATAAAAGATAAAAATGTACAGGGCACTCACCACGAATAGAGCTTGCAGGACTGGCAGTTGCTGTGGGTGTGTTGGTGAGTGGTGAGTGAATGAAGGCCCAGGACACTACTGTGCACGACTGCAGACTTTACACACTATGTACTTAGGCTACACTAAATTTATAAACAAAGTTAGGTGACTACACGATGATGTTATGATGGCTACTATGTCACTAGGAGATAGGAATTTTTCAACTCCACTATGATTTTATAAGATCACTGTCGTATGTGTGGTCTGTTTTTTTTTTTTTTTTTTTTTTTTTTTTTTTTTTTTTTTTTT